ACACACACACACACACACACACACACACACACACACCCCTCCCTAACAAAAGAACAGCTCTTTTTGTTTTCCAAGAATCATTTGAGCAAAGCCTACCCGAGGCAATTATCCAAGTCTCAACGACTGGTGGTGTTGACATCAATTAGCACACTTTGATTTTTACTAAAAATTTCAAATCTTATCTGACGCAGCACAGAAGACAATTAGCAGCTGTCTGCAGCAGAATTAGACGACCCAGGAATAGCAAGTGGGAAGCCAGTGAGGGATTACCTCTTGGCTGCACTGGTGACTTCCTCTCGTTGGTTGGGGCATATATTGGTTTGCTGTTAGCATGATGTCGCCTTGTAACCATGAAACTCGCATCTTTGCCATGTAAAAAAATAAAAATGTATGTAAAGAATGTATGGAATTTTTGTTTGCCATTTGTGATTTAACGTCTTAATTATATGAAACAAACTAATCGTGTCAACGAAGACAGATGAGCAGTTGTGATCAATATCAGAGATGTCTGTTGGGAAACAACCAATTCAACAGGCCTGTGGAAGTGCATCAGTTTATAATGAGAGCTTCGGTGGAGACAATTTGCCGTCAATGCTGGTGACTCAACAAGTTGCTTTCATGTGGGAGGATAAGAACACTGGTCCTTTGTGGCTCATTTCTGCCTGTGTGACAAGGCCAGTGTGTGGGAGATGCCACCTACAATAAGCCGGCTGCCTTTCCTTCGGAAAAACATTTAATTACCGACAATGAACGGTATCGTGTGTGTGTGTGAGAAGAAAAGTGGAGCACTGAGCGCACCTCAAATTGTCTAAGTTTGCAACGGTAAATCTATTTGGCTGACGAGTTAGTGCTCAATCCCATCTCAAACTGTAATACATGACCTCTCTCTATAAATGTCCCTGTATCAATATTCAAAAAGTAAGAGCTTTGGAAATCTGAAAAGACACAAAGAGGAGAAGGACATCTGAGCAACGATGGATGCTACAAACACTTTAGAGTTAAATAGACACTCTTACTTCACATTCAATGATCTAGACGTAGATGGAACTACCCTGATGGCTGAAGAGAGAGGCTGAAAAGATACAGCAATTTGTTTTTAGTCAAGACAAACTGTACATGTCAGTCACACATCCCATAATATTTATATATTTATATCTTCTTTTAATCCAGATAATTTACAGCTTTTTTTAGCCAGCGTTGATGTTAATGTGTCGTGCCGTCGATGCACTCATGCCCCGCCCCCTTTGCCTTATCGTAGCTCTGCAGATCCATTTGCCACCAAAGGTCTCTGATGAATCAGCATGAGACATCTAATCCTGTCAGATCACATAACGCCTTAGTAATTAGCCACGAGTGATAAGTTCAAATACACTCTAAGATGGTGGGGCAGCAGAGTACTGCATGGAGCCTAACATGGGCATAATATGTTCCTGTTTATTCTTATCATATATCTTTTTTTAAACTATGACAGTTTAACAGAACTTTTAGATTTTAAGACTTGGAGATTGGTTATGGTTTGGAAAAATATGCAGTATTTAAAAAGAAAGGTTGTCTCATGTGTCGTGTAAAATAAATGTATATCTAAATCGCAGATGTAAAAGTTGTTTCAGTAGAACAGTAAAACACATTAAATTGCCTGAAAAATTGCCATTTCTGATTGCAAAACAATTCATGCTGAGTCACGGAAATAAAGAAAAGTGGAACGCAATCATAAAATTCCTAATTTATCTACAGCCCAACAAATAATAAAGTAGCTTAGCTGAAATGTTTCACGCTTGCCTGATGTTTCCTCTGAGAAGCTGAGCAATAGAAAGGGTTTCAAATCAAAGCAGACTTAGAACAAATGTATATTCTCAATTGCGGTGAGTTCTCACCGGCCTTCTGTAATAACGGTCAATTCATTATCTACTGTACGACAGCATTTCCTCAATGTTCACAGACTGTGAACATGAATTCACAGTATGTGGGGTAATGAATACTTCAAATCCTATGAAACAACTTAAAGGATCACTTTGCCAGTTGCACATACCACCCACACTGCAAAGATATAAAGCCAATGCAACATGAGCAGAGTAAACCCCTTTAAGGAGTGGAAGCATTTTCCATCAGTTGTGTGATCATTAACAGTTTCCAGTAAACATGTACTCCACTATAGGATATAAGATTCAACCCATCTGCTACCGTCAAGTGCTCTGCTTTCCCAGAGGCTAACGTATGCGACACACTCTGCAGACATCAACACCCGCTTCAGATACACGCCTCGTGTTCACTCAGCACCGTGTATTCTGTCATTCGACACATTAAACATGTGATGCATGCCCTTCTTGGGGCCCTTGAATAGAAAGGCATCTGAAAATGTAAATCTAAATGAAGTTCAGACTCAACTGCAGAATACCTTTGCACATTAAACCCGCAGAGATGTTGATCCACGGCTTGAATATTGATTCATGAAGCTCTTAAAGAATTTGAAAAGGTGAAGCGATGGGCGTCACCCTCCGAGTATCACCCCGTTGGCTCGGGGTCAAAAAACAAGCATGGCAAGTAAGGGAGGGGAGGGGGGGGATCCTGGATCCTGGGAACACAATCTGTCCTCAACGGGGACATGTGACGACATGCACAGAAAGCTCAACATCCTATTAGAACTTTTTATGGTGCTAATTCCACTTTACACGCGTTTGTGTTCGCACACTTCCGCCACACAGGCAGTGCTTGTGGATGTCGCCTGACCCCACATGGACCGACACATTTTTGGTCCAAACATGGGTCCTGATCCTCCGTCACAACCCCGCTGCCCCGCGTTTGGCTCATGGATACTGCAGCTGTCAAAATGCACATATCATAGTCTGCAAGCCTGCATACGTATACATATGAGAGTATACACACAACCTTTAAATGTGTAACGTATATGAAGGTGATACATCTTCTACTACCTCTACCACTGCACTATGGTTTAAGTGGGTAGAAAAACAGATCTTTCAACCTTCAGTCACATGCAGAAGCCATCACCTACACCGGCATGTTTCACCTGAAACACAGCGAGTGTAAATATCTCAAACGAGAACTGTCGAAAGATGCTGATCCCCTCTCCACCGCTCCTAACTCCAAGAATACAAGACCCACAGCTGAACAATATTTGTACCGTCAACATCAAAGCCAGCTGGCCCACTGCAGTGACTGACAAACAGCTGCGTCCGATGGTAAGAGCCACTCAGGAGCAAATTCAGACTAACTGCTATATTTAGGCCAATATAAGCAAGGACAATGTCCCCATCAAAGGCTCAGACACACACGCATAAAATCACTCTATATTGAGACCACAGGTATAACATATAATGACATATAATATGACATATAATACAGGAAACAACTGTGTTAAGAGAGACGCGTTTTTACTCTTAATATACTCACACCACCATCTGCTGAAGTGATCCTGATCCTCCAACAACTCTTACAGACCATTATAAGCAATGGGGTCTAAAGGACAAACGGTGCTGGGCTGGTCTTAAACCTAAATCAAACTGAGCACATCGGCAAGCTGACAATCTGTTACACTCGTCTTTTGAACATCAAGCGCTCCTCCTCACTCGTCACTCATCAGGTCAGCAAACTGTGAGTGAGGCATGAACGTGCGTGGAGTTTCACCGTGTCCTAATACAGGCTTCTGTGCGCTCTACACATGAATGAAGTGTCTCGCGAGGAGGACGGTGAGCTAGAATTACTAAACACAGCGCTGGGACTCCTCTATCACAAACTGCATGACAAAATGGCCCTGGAATTTATTTATTTTTTCAAATTGTTGTGACCGCACACAGCAGCTGTTTTATTGACACTGGTGACTGATGTTGCAATTCAGCATTCATCCAGACCCTCCTCTGTGTGTTTTGGTATTGATGATAGCAACGGGATGTGCTTTACGTCATCTTTCCTCTCAGAAATGAAGGGAAATGTGATACGATTAAGCTTTTATCTCTCCATCGAGTGGAGCAATCTGTGTCTTAGTAAGATGTCGGTCCTCTGAAGGGTCGAGCAATTTGACAAATAAATCGGCAATGGGCAATTAGCCGTGTACGTCGCTATTTTATTTAGCTAATTTAATGGTCAGCCTCCAAAGAAAAAGTGAGAGTCTCTGCTCAGCAACGGCAGAGAGAGACAGCGAGGAAAAGCAGCTTGTAAAGTCGCCATATTTTCACATCTAACTGTGAATTAATGGGGATTGTTGGAAGGAGGGGAAAGACTAAGATGTTTTTGGTGAATTTTATTTGATCTGTCGAGTTCAAATGAAGTGTGTTTTACAATGAGTTAAATACGCAATTAAGCTTAGTTCTGTGATGGAGAGTCACGTGAATTCAGCAGGTGTATGTTCTGTGTGCAGGTTCAGGCTCTGTTTTAAGAAGGTCATCTAACACTTACACTTCTTTTAATGGATTTCCAGAATCCTCAAAGACTCTTTTAACCATCAGGATGAAAGAATATATTCCAACTTTTGAGATTAGTAACCCGTCACTCAAATTGCAACTCTATTTCCTTTCTAGGTCACCAATGGCTACATTCTTCATTTGGAGAACGAGTTGAAAAATCCTTTTTGTCCTGCGGTGGACGGATGTGGTTGAGATTCAGTCATTAAAGCTTTGACGACGATGTTGGTAGAGAGTACAATCCAATATATCAGTCCATAATCTCCCATTAGGTGTTCAGTACATTGAAATATGTCGACTGTAAAGATTACAGCATATGATTCACATCCTTTGAATACTTATTCAACCATTTAATAAACCCTCATGACCGATGGAAGGGACCAGTCCCAACAGGATACAAGGTGATAATAACTTTGCATTGATTTGCAAATGGGA